GTCATGTTGATACCTGCCGGATTTTTTTTTTACGCCTGCTTTGTAAAGTGTGTCCCTTAAGTCACTGTAGCATATCAAAATATCATTTTTAAAAAACAATTGATGCAAAAAATAAATAACATTATCTGAACGATAGTAGGTCGTTTTCGATTTACTTCGCAAAAAATAGAGTTACTTCTGAGTTTTGAATGTGCCTCAAAATGTCTTCCGCCTGCATCAATCCATTTGGCATGAGGCTCAGTACCAATAAATCGCTGAAATTCCCTTTCAACTCTGATATGACTCAAAGACCAAAAATCAGGTTGTATATTTACTTGTTGCTGCAGAGTCTATTGCGAAGACTTTCCTCATGACAGCGAAATAAAATTTAAATAAATAATACTTGCTATGCTTCTCGAGTCTCACTGGAATTAAAAGGAGTGAAAAACATAAAGATTAGCAAATTTTTACAAAACAATTCAATAGAAGAGGATTCAATAGTGTACCAAAAATGTTCCTAAAAAAAACCCTTTCTAATGAGCTTTTCAAACTATTTCCGTTTGAGTTTGTTTCCAAGTCATGAAAAGATCGTTCTTTTCATCAATCCTAGAACAGTGACCTGGATGTGGTAATCTCGAAATTATACCTGTATGAAATGGTACCGGGACTTATGGGATATCCTGTAAAAGTCCAGATTTTTTATTATCCTGCCACATACAATGAAACTTAGCATCCGTGGGTTTGCATGATTCATATTGTAGTATAGGTGCTGGGGTCGTACACTCTATTGCAAAAGTATTGAGACAAGCCTACATACGCTGATAAGCGATTGACGTAGTAGACATTAAACAGAGGGCATAATTGTAGTCCATAAGTATGTTACGGTCATCTGCAATCTGTTACAGTCTGTGTTTGCCAGTATGGCACATGGAATGGAGTGGGGATTCAGATGATGGGTTGGAAGATCATGGGAAATTTCTCACTCGTTTGATCCAAGCGAATCGCTTTCACTTTAATCTTGAGGGTGTTCTCCGTGCCGGGGACCCAAGGCTGCGGCAGCATCATCACCGTGCCGTTCTCATCCACCGTCATGTTATCTAGAAATCAGAGTGAAATCCCTTTCAGGAAGAGTTTGTATTGAGATCAGGGTATCTGAGATGAGATGTCCATCGACACTGCAATTATTCCGATATTATTATCCCCAGCGTAGAACTACTTCTATACGAAAGTTACCGTTCCACAAAAGCAAATACGGAAATTTCCATTCATTTATCTTTAAAAAGACGGTTTAACCTTGCAATCTCAGGTTTCGTTTTCGGTGAAAATTAGCTTTAGAATTGCGAGAAAGTAGAGTTGTGAGTCAGGAAACCTGAATGAGTCCTGTGGGTGATATTGAATCCCACCGGACCGGCGTAGTCCCCGATCGGCTTCAGCAGTTCCGTCCAATTCCCTGGCTCATTTTCGTCAATGGATAATTCGATTATGGATTGCGAAAATAGGATGGAACCACTCCCACTGGGATTCTCCGGAGACTCTGCATATGCCTCTCCGGAAAGGTACGTGTAGTCATTGAGTAGTCCTCCCAGTTGGTCTCCGAGGGGCCTGTTTGGACATATTCACATTGCATTCTTTGGGAAGACACTGGCAAGCTGTTTCGGGCTTTTTGAGAGGAGGCTTCAACATCGTACAATTGAAAGGTGCCTTTTTCTTTTGTTGACAGACCTGTTCAGGGAACGAATCTGTCATTTGCATAAAAGGTTGGAACTTCTGGTCTTTTTAAAAAAAAATTAATGTTAAATGTCGGTATTTAATTATATTACTTGTAATGTTGATGGTGTTGATTTGTATTGATCAGTGACAATGTGAGAGTTTATGGAATAAAAGTTACTTTTTTGTTACTAGGGCAGGTGGCGAATACATTTTTGCTTTATTGCTTGAGACGAGTTTGACGTTGACTTCACCAGATTATTCTTAATTCTATGGAGTTCATTTTCGTTGGAACTTTACTCAACAATTCTGCAAGATGCAACTCGTGATGTTCTTTCAAAGGTTACCCTGCAGCTTCAAACATGGAATGAAGGGGACAGACCCTAGCATGGATTCGACGGGGAAAGCCGCCCAAGTCCCGTCTTCCTCCTCTTGCAGGGCACACATGAACATGGTGAGAATGAAGGCAGTATCATCGCTGTTATTCCTCACGTTGCTGGTTAGCACTGACCACTTCAGGTTTGGAAAAAGGTTGTCCAATGCACCCAGTATCGTAACCAGGTCCGGGTATATCGTGGCTGACTCCAGTTGTAGGACAAGGATCTCTGACCCATTCAAGGGGACCACCTAAGCATGATGGACCCATGTAAATATGAATTGAACTTAAATGGTGGGTAAATGAACTTAAATTCAACTTAAATACTCAATGTGACATAAACGAAGCTGCTTGTGCAACCTTGCCTGTAAAAATCCTCTTAAAGTGAAGTTGATTTCACGATTTCTGCCCGCCATCCACAGGAACACGAAATTACCGAGCAATTTCAGTAAGGCCAATATGCTAATATCGTCCAAGAGTCGAATGTGGCGTTTTGCCTAAAAATGAACTCTTTGTATGAACGGAACATTTTTCCGCATGCCTCCCGAATGCGTTCTTTTTAAGCCGCTTCATATACGTATAGCCTTAAGATTATTGTGCTTTCACGACGGCAAAATTTTATTTCAAAATTTTGAAGGAGGGATAACGGGCTTTGAGGCCCCAAATCCAAAAGCTCACTAAAGATGTCCCCAGTTCACCTCGCTCACCGTGAAGAAGATGAGGACCACGGCACCACTTCCATCTGACACTGCAACCCGGAATGTATCTTGGGGAAGGGGATTTACAACGGCGTACACATGTGCAGTTCCCGAACCGGCGTCCACGATCTGCACGGATTCTGGTCCCGCGAACATCCAATTCGCGAACTCAGATGAATCCTTGTCATCCCTGGCCTTCAGTGAAGAACATCGGTAGGCAAAACTCGGATCAGCTTAGAGGGGAGAATGCTGCTGCCTCGTAGCAAATTTCAGGGGCGTCATCAATTTCAAAAAAGACATTCGCCTGAATCTGAATGGTAGTAACTCATGACATTTCCATATTATAACTGAGCATCCAATCAATGTTGCCAGAGAGGCATTTATGGACTTGCAAGCCTTGCCAAATTCCTGAGTTCGAGGATATCACGAAGCATATGAGAAGTCCAAATGAGAAGTTCCGGGTTACAAAAATCAAAATGCAAGAAAACGAAAATACTCTACACCGACAGCCAAGAGTTCCATGTGGCCTGCTCAAGTTGAGCCTGTTTGACATACGTGGATGACCGCGATGGGTGTCCTTTCGGGGCCCCAAGGCACGTCCGGCAGGGGTAGGCCAGTGTACACTTCGTTGGGAGAAACTTCAGGAGAGTTGTCGTTAGTGTCTAGGATCCGAACGACGACCACCGCCTCGCCCGGCTGGACGCTGCTGAACGGGTCCACTGCCTGTGCTGCCCTCTCCACTCCACAACCTCCAACTGGTTCGAACATGAACGTTGAACGGTGGTTAATTCGACGATTGGCTGTTGCTGCGCTCGACCTCGTTCATTTTACTAATGTGGTTCGCGGTTTCACCACTAGACAAACGTGGTGCACCGTATCGATTAAGGTCAAAGGAAAGCCAAGTATGTAAATGGGTATTCGGTGCACCACCAGAGTCACTTTCCTGGAGCGACCAATTGCTATTATTCAACTTTCCGCTTCCATCTCAACGTCTTTGACACAAATCCTTTGAAAATATACCTTTTATTTGTCGATTCATGCATCCTTGTGGGTGAGGATCGTTGCGATTGCGATGCATTAGGGTTAATAGCGTCGAGTGTGCGAATATTTATGCGCGAAAGTAGGCAAGCGCTTATATATGCGAGGGAGAACGCGAGAGCGGGTGTGCCTGGTTGTGCTGGACGTATCTCGTACCTGTTGAATTCTTCAGTTCCGCTTTCACCTTGATCTTGAGGGTATTGTTCCCATTACGCTCCCATCGCTGCTGCAGCATGGTAACCGTACCGTTCGGGTGGACAGTCAACGTGCCTGGACAATTATCAGAAATTGTTTGACAAATCGGTCTCTTAAAAAAAAGAATTTAAATGTTACTTCCCAAAATATATGCCAGAAAGGGAGGGAAATAAATGTTCGCCTGCTCCATGAGGAATTTAAAACTGAAAATAATCACGTGCGTTTGTTTATTAGTTAGCTTGATTTTGAGCTAGAAAGAGAAGTGGAGAGAAGAAAATGAAAAAATGAAGAGAATCATGACTCCAGAGACCCATCATGAATCGTAAGGAGTGAAGGCGCTTAGATTTGTTTAATTAGCAAAAGGAGCATTTATCACAATTCACAGCAAAGGCTTTTTTTTGTATATGGATGCATGGTAACCCCAATTCTTCTAATACTATGCAGCAGAGCGACTGTCATAAGAGCAGTTTAAAAATCTTGAATCGAGCCGTCCTTTAGATTCGTGGACTCGTTTTGTCTGTGCCCGCCTATGAACCAAGAACTTGACAATTGCACGTTTGATTTCTGCTTCGTAATAAGGAATGTCGATGACTCGTTATAAAGTAAAAGTAGTTCCCAGGAAAAGCGTTGGAAGAACTATCGTGAAGGCATGAGAAGAGAGAGCCCAGACCTTCTGCGTGAGTTGAGTCGATGATTTCGAAGTTCACCTGGTCCGCTTCGAAACCCACTGGCTTCAGCAGCTGGTCCCAAAAACCCCCTACGTTCTCATACTCTTCCAGCTCAAAGATGAAGGAGGAGAAGGAGACGCAGCCGTCGTCCAAGAC